CTTTTTCTTGTTTGGAAAATCAGTTGTTTCATTGAAGACAGAGAGAGAAGGAGAGCACGAGCAGGCGTCAGGGAGTGTGCTTTGTATGTTATAGTGACTTCAAAATAAAACTGGCACACTTTAGTGTCTAATTATTTTTAGTGAGCTTGGAGGGTTTTAATTAAAATTTAAGAGTGCTCTTCAGGCTCTCCAAGCTCCAATTTTATCACACTGTCTTGTGGAACACTTGTCACTGTGGAAAAATGTACCGTAACTGTCATGTGCAATCTCTGTGTTTCCTAATGAAAAATTTGGAATGGATGATCATCAGGGATTAAATATATATTGTCAGAACTAGTTGTAAACTAAGACCATGGGTATTTTTAATAAGTTATCATTGTTCTTGGCTATATAGAAAACTTATTGCATTTGAAATTCCATTCCTGTGGTAAAAATACAAAAGGAATTGCTTTAATAGTTTCTTAAAAGATTTAATAAAGCAGTAGGAAATCTGCTTATGGGGGTAGTAGTCATTGTTTTTCTCATTAGAATATCTAAAAGATTTTCTGTGTCATGATTTTAATGTTAAACATCACTTTGAAATAAAAAGAACAATGATAAGTGTTTACTCACAGGTAACTTGTTTTAAAGTACAACAAAGATTTTTCCCATTATCCTTCCACTTCCCATATGCTTTAATTTTAATCATAATTTCTTTATTTACTCTCTTATACTCATATGAAATACGTTTATTTTGTGCAGAGTAGGAGTTAATATTGCTGCAGCTCTGTTTAACTAGTAATTTAAACGTGTTACTAAAATATCATATACGCACTGTAGGAAATAAGTACCCCAAATACTCTCGTTTTGAATTTCTCTGGTACCATGAAATTAATTATTAGCAAGCAAAAACATCACCAAGCTGTGAAGAAGCATTCACAAGTTACCTGGCTTGAAACCTAGGTACTTAGGAAGCAGAAACATGGGTTTTCTACCCATTATACTAGCACTCATAGAAGGCTTCTTAAAAATTAACTTTTAAAAATTAATTCTGAGTTGTGTCTTTCCTTTTTTCCTTTGGAAAAGGTTCTTGGAAGAGATATACGTATATTTGCAAAGGAAAGAAAAAAGAAACTTTGTAACTGAGAATCATTTATAACATATCAAAACCTTTTACATCTTTGGTGAAAATATAGAAGAAAGCAGCTGTTGATTTGATAGTCCTGTTTTAATCACCTTTATTTACAAAAACTAGATAAAATAAATATAAAGTCCTGCTTTTAATTGAATATATATTGGTTTATGGAAACTAATTCTTTAAAGTAAGAGGAATTGATTTTGGCATTTACCATTTTAATATTGAAATGTTATGGCCTACATTCATTTTATATATATATATGTTATAGTTTTATGCTACAGAGTTGTGTTTTCTTTATGTCAGTTTCTGAAAAGCATGTAGTTTCTCCTGTTTTTCAGCTGCAGACAACCCAGTCAGGCAAAAATAATAAAACTTGAATAGTCAAACTCAGATAATAAAATATACTGTATATTGTTTCATTGTTTTAAGGATTGTGCTTCCTTGAAACTTTATTAGTTATTTCAAGTCAATCATGTAAGCATATTTATTTCTGTAAAATAATCCAAGAGTATAGTGGGATGTTAAGTCCTGTTTTTCTCTTTGGAGCCCTACATGACTACTGAGTTAAAGCCGTTCTGTGAGGTGTTATTCTTTTTGTGTACACAATGCAAACTGGGTTTATTTAATTATTTTCACCTCTTTTGTTTTTCATTTGTGCATGATCACAATAGGGCAAGTCTGATCTAATCAGCTGACTCTGTAAAACTACCAATAAAAAACTAATTGCTGTCGATTTGATTCCAACTCATGGTGACCCCATGTGTGTCAGAGTAGTAGTGTGCGCCACTGGATTTTCAATGGCTGTAAAACTAGTGTCCTATTAATGTAGTGGGAGGATGTGGCATAACTTTGATGAATCCTTATTAATTGCACTCTTATCAGGATATTGATTTGAGTGGGAAATTTGAAACTACAAATTTTTCTTTGTAACTTTGTATTTTTTATATATTTCCTCATTCTAAGTCAGAAACCTCTCAGTAGGGGCAGCAGTATCCTCTGCCTAAATGGTACTTGGTAGCAATCTGCTTCTTCTGGTCCTTTTTTCTCTCACCCTGCTAGCTTTATATGACAGCATGGAGAGTGCTTAGCACTAATTGTGGCATGCCCTTAGAGGTTTGGCAGCTACCTAATTAGGTGAAGAAAAAAAAACCCAGCTTTTTCAAGAGAGACTTCTTTACAGTTTTGACTTTTCCTGGAATCTCCTAGAACTAAGATTAAATGTTGACAAGATTTTATGCAGTGACTTTTGTTTTCCTGTCGACAAAGGCAGTCAGTGATTGTTATTAAATATTTTCATGGGCTATAAATGTAGACAGGCAAATACTCCTTTATTTTTTTCTCTCAGTTTCTCCCACTGAAATGAGAACTCGTATAGCTAGATTAACTCAGCATTATGGTAAGGATTAATTTTCTAATAGGAATGTAAACTGCTTTGACATTATTAACCATTTTATTAATAAGTGCCTTTTACGTAAAGCTGTTTCCACATGGCTTGATTTACATTTGAAGTGTGTGTTCCTGTTGTCCATATAGTTCTATTTTTCTCCCATGAAGTTTCAACATTCTTTTCCTGGAGCTCTGAAAGATTTCAGGCCTATTTATGGAACTGAGAGGCATATTTTAGGCTGTTTTATATCCATGTATGTATCTAATTCTAGTTTATGAACTTGCTCTGAATTTGTAGTAATTACTAATAAATTGGGCATTTTGTCTTTTGCCATTATAATGTATACTCTCAACTTAAATTTTAAATAGAAAAGTTAGGCTTTAGTGCTTGTATCAGTAATTATCAGTTTCATGTAATGTTATAACATATGAAAGGGTAGGATATGAAGCTGAAGATTTTTTGTTGATCATTCTATCCGTGATCTGACGTTACATCAGTTTCTATCAGAAATTCAAATCCAATCTGAGAAAAAAGTAATCTCTTACAGGCATGGCTTTGAAAATTTGCTTCTTCACTCTCAAACTTAGTATTATGTTTTTTATGACTTTAGCATAGAAACAAACACACGTAGAACACAGTATTCACCTCATTTCTGTGTTTGAAATAAAGAGGTGGTGCAGTGGTTAAGAGCTCGACTGCTAACCTAAAGGTTGGCAGTTTGAATCTACCAGCCACTCTCTGGAACTGCCTATGGGGCAGTTCTGCTTTGTCCTATAGGGTCGCTATGAGTCGGAATCAACTCAACAGCTCTTTTTTAAAGACACCATTTTGGCAATTAAATACAACCTGAACATATGCATACGCTTGAAGGCCCTTTGGAAGGTCATTCAGAATCCAACTTTTAATTACCATGGTAGATTGTTGAAGTCTAAGAAATATTTTATAGGAAAGAAAGGAAGAGAAGAAAGAAGGAAGGAGGGAAAAAGGAAGGGAAGGAAAGAGAGAGAAATGAGGAAAGGGCCAGGGAGCTTTTATTTAATAGAATCAAGCTGCCTTCTATTTAGAAAAAAACTTTAGCTTCTGTCGTAGCTAGCTAGTATGGTTGTTCTTCATCAACCATTTCCTGACACACTGATCTGGATTCCATCCAGTCCTTGATTGATTGATCATGTCATGGACAAATGTTAATTGTTTTCACCAATACTTTCTAATCATGCAGTGTTCTTCTCATCTCTTACCCAGGGCTCACTGTCTTTTTCTAAAGCTTATCTAGCTTCTAAAACTCTTTAGATCCATCTTGACCTTACTGTCATTCTGAAAAATTCAAGGAGGATTTAGAAGCTGGAGGAAAAAAATGAAAGGGAAAATGCTAAAGAGATAGGTACCGATATGGGAGAGAGAAAGCATTTGGAATTGGAGTAACCATTTGAAATACAATTTTAAAAAGAAGTTATCATAATTTTGACACTTGGAATGTTAAAGTTTAATGGGAGTATGCTTTGCACTAGGGATTTAGTATTTAAATCTGCATTCTTTTTTGGAAACATGGTCTATTTGTTTAGATTTGAGGCTCAAAAGATATAAGTATATAGTCATAAGCAGTAGCCCCCGTTGCGAATTCATCCGAATAGACAGAAAAAAGTAACTCACTGAGAAAAATTTGGTAATCATTAGGACATTCTAAAGTATGAATTCTGTAACCTTTATGAATCATTATAAAAACAAGTGCAATCACTCTGTATAATCTAGAATGTTATTTAGAAAGCATTAGGGCGAATATTAGTATTTAAATAAGTATTTTCATTAATAAGAATATGAATGTCTTTTTATATAAGAGAAAAATTTTAGCAGTTTTCATTACTGAGAGGCAGTGAACATCTTGGCTTTATTTTCTCCCTGCTTCGCTTTAAATGAATGTTTTACAAAAGTTTCATATGTTTGTTTCTTTTTTAAGGACTGAGTAGTTACAGGTTGATCGGCTTCTTCTCCCTTGAAGATCACATAAATTTTGAATAGCACATAAATTTTGCTTGGGCTTAAAAATTTTTTATCTGGATTAAAAGAAATAATATTTAAATGTAAATACGTAGGAAAGAGAGCCTCCTGTTCTGTTCTATCAATCTAAGAAATGATAGATGTGGTTTGAGTATTAATAAAATTATAACACCAAGATAAAATTATTGAGTATTATCTTTTTTTTCCCTGTAGACAATGATTTAAAGAATCCTCTGGTAAAAATAAACTTAGCTGTGGTATTTTGAACTAGACAAAATAATGTAATTTTCTATATCCTGCTGTTAAAACACCAAAAAATAGTTTTGTGCATTTTTAAATGGGAGAATTTCTCTATCAGTTGGCCTGCTGGGTTTATAAATATACATAAATTTTTACATCTATTAAAAATAATTTAGTAATTTAATAATAAATATTTAAAAATATACATATTTGCATGTGTATTTGGAATATATAATGTACATATATTTTGTATCTTAATAGATTCCTCCTGCATGGAAAAACTACTTTCAAAAGATTGGAAGGAAAAGATGGAAAGACTAAATACCAGTGAACTTCTTGGAGAAATTAAAGGTACAGTATACAAAATATCAAATATATCAATACAGAGATGTTGTTTTGTATAGCAGCATATTTGCTGATCTTCTGTACCCTAACACTAAAGTCTTACCTCTAACACTTGTTTATATATGAAAGGGTAAATGTATAGTGTGTCTTTGAACTTCTATTCTTTCTAATGTTTACAGAATGAAAACTTCACCCTTTCTTTTATTAGTCTTTAAACATAAAATTTATAGGATAAACTGCTTTATTAATTTACTTAGAAGAAAAGTATGAAAAAGAATAAAATACTCTGTTAAAACATGGATAGCAAATGAAAGATAATCTTAGTTTTTCCTCTTCAGAATCATAATAATAAATTTATAAATTCAATTCATTAATTTGAATTTCCTCTGATCAAAAGAGGTCAACTGTAGCACCTTAAAAAAAAAGAGTTTATAGAATGTACTATGTATGCTAGTACATAATGCTTTATGGGAAGATTCTGAGTCTTATTTAGCTTGGTGAAAACCCCAGCTCTGCCATGTACTAGATGAGCAACTTTGGGCTAGTCATTTAATTTTTCTATATTTCAAATTTTTAATCTTTAAATTGATGAAAATAACAGTACCTAGCTCACAGGCTTATTAAGAGAGTTAATACGTATAAAGCTCTTAGAACAGTACCTTTTACTTAAGAAAGCACTCATAAGTGTAAGTTGTGGTTATTGTTATTATTAGTGTGCCCATAGGAACATAGGTTGATCCATCTCTAACAGATTTCATGGAATTTAACATTCCATGACCTTCTACTTTGATGAGGGTGAGCATTCTTATTTTTGAAGATATATGTTTGGTATTTGTACTTTGAAACATGTTATAAATTGCACATTCCCAATCCATTCCAGTATTAAGTTACCCTATCAATCAAGAAGTTACACTTCTTACCTAACCAAACTCTCTCTTGTTGATTCCTCTGTGGAGATGAAGTCCTTTATTCCTAGTTGCTTGTATCATGAATGGAATCCATGATCATTCATTAGTCATTACTTTGACTTGCATTAACCATTTGGGAACTTAATTGCATTAGTTTTCTGAATGTATCAAACAATTTTAGGTGAATCTTTCTATTAGCTGTGGATAATAGCTCATTTAAGAGGAAGATTTGGCAATATTATCTGATGAAAAGGAGCCCTGGTGGTGCAGCGGTTAAAACACTTGGCTGCTAACTGAAAGGTCAGCGGTTCAAACCTACCAGCTGCTCTGTGGGAGAAAGATGTGGCAGTCTGCTTCCACAGAGATTTACAGCCTTGGAAACGCTATGGGGCAGTTCTACTTTGTCCTATAGGGTCACTATGAGTCAGATTCAACTCGATGGCAATGAATTTTGTTTATCTAATTAAAATGTTACTTTGAATGTAATACAGAAAGTTGCCTAGTGTTCAGGGATGTTATGTTCAACACAAATGAAGAGAAAAGGAAGTCATCTCTTTCCCAATGAATAATTAATAACTCATTCCATTAACTAATACAGTGTCAAAATCAAGTGGAAATTGGATATTATTTTGAATTGCACTGCTTCTGTTTTGTACTCATAAAGGCCATTTGCTATTTTGGAGAAAAAGAAACTCAACTTATAACTGATGAGTAGAAAGAAAGTCATTAGTGACATATTCCCTATCCAGCTGCAATAACATGGTGTGTGCTACTTTGCACGTCATTCTGTGTTTTCTTCCCTTTCCAAAGTCGTTGGTTTTATAACAGTGGAAACAGAAGTGGTTTATGCAAAGGCAGGCTTTCACCAGCATGAATGATGGGGGTCTTGCTTCTCTTAGTAATATAGAAGCTAACATTTGATTATGCTATGATTCAACATCAAATTTTTATGCTTTGGAGTATCCTTTCCCTCCATTTTCCATCTTTCTTTATTTTTAATTCTGAGTTAAAAATCTGAAAATGTGTTAGTCTTAGATACTCAAACTGTATAAATCTCAGAATTGAAACACATGCGAAAATAAGCTTTTCAAATTCTTTAACTTTTTTTCTAGACTCGGTGTTATGTGCTTTCATTTGTGTCTGCTATTCTGAATTTTATGAGCATAGAAAATAAGACCCTTACTAAATTTCCTATTTTGATTTATTTTACGTAATTGTCTCTTCTTACGTCCTCATATACATTGTGGAGAAAATATACCAATAATGTATTATAATTTAAAAATAAAACAAAATTAAAGTAGTGTTCAAATAGTTTAATTCAACCACTGCTGAAACTCATCATGTATTTTTAGTCTAGATAAGACCAGTCCAGTTATTAGCTACCTAAATTAGTCATCATTATTTTGAAATTTTATAGTGCTTTGAATGCTATCTTCAGAGATAAATAATATTGTGAGTTATCTGTATTTAATATCATATCTCAAGCATTCTATGTTTTTATTTGCTCTTTTTTTCTCTGATTACAAAATTTATAAATATTTATTGTAAGAAATATAGAAAAACACAAAAAGAAAATAATTTTGTCCTTTAATCCTACCTGTGTCTTACTGTGTAGCCTTTTAATTTTTTCTATGGCTATATATGTTAGATGTTTACCCATAAAATTAGAATCATCCTTTTACTATTTGTTATGGGTTGAATTGTGTCCCCCAAAAATATGTGTTGTAAATACTAACCTCTACGCCTGTGGTTGTGGTGCAGTGGTTAAGAGTTCGACTGCTAACCAAAAGGTTGGTAGTTTGTATCCACCAGCCACTCCTTGGAAACCCTGTGGAGTAGTTTTACTCTGGCCTATAGGGTCGCTGTGAGTCAGAATCAACTTGAAGGCAATGAGTTTTGGTTTATGCCCGTGGTTATATCCCATTTGGGGATGGATTGTCTTTGTTATATTAATGAGGCAGGATTAGTGTAGGTGTGTTTTAAGTCAATCTCTTTGGAGATATAAAAGAGATCAAATAAGCAAGCGGGGGGAAGAAAGCAGAGAAGGCAGAAGAGAGATGACAAGCCGCATGAAGATAGCCCAGGAGCAGAAGCTCAAAGAGACAAGGACCCTCCCCCGGAGCTGAAAGCCTTGCCCTAGAATCAGCCCTGAATTTCGACTTCTAATTTCCTAAACTGTGAGAAAATAAATTTCTGTTTTTTAAGGGCACCATTTGTGGTATTTTTGTTATAGCAGCACTAGATAACTAAGACACTATTCTTTTATATTTTTTTCATTTCGTGATGTATTGTGACCTTCTCTGCAGTTAGGCCATCTTCTAAAATATTACTTTTATTGGCATAAAATATTGCATAAAATGGAGTGCCCATAATTTAACTGGATCTTTTATTGAACATTTAAGTTGTTTTTTATTGTTTGTCATTATAAAGAACACTTTGAACATGAATAACTTTTCATTAAATAATTTTAGCTTATTAGTGGTTATTTTCTTAGGACATATTCATAAACGTGAAATTACTGGGCCAAAAAACTATTTTTTTTTTTTAAACTTGTTTTATATGCCAAATTGCCCTTCAGAAAATTTATTGTGTTTTGTGTTCTATGTATCTGAAAGTGTTTATTATCTCTTTCCCTCAATAACAAGTATTATTGCTTTAAAATTTTCTTGCCAGTTTGATAGGAGCAAAACAGCATATTATTGCTGATTTATTTGAATTCTTTGGTTACTGTATTTTTACGTGAATAATGGCGTGCCTTCTATGTTTGTTGGCCAACGGCTCCCTCCCCCCACGAAGTATTTTCATAAGAGCACTACGCTAATTTTTTTTACAGCAACATGTAAAGAAAATTGGCATAGCACACTTCTGAAAATACCTCATCAGGGCAGGGAGTAGTTGGCAAACAAACATAGAAGGTGTGTGTCGTATGTGTAAAAATACAGTATTTGTAAAAATGAAGAGTTTTACATAAATTATTTTCTATTAAACACCTCTTCTTTGGTGAATTGCATATTTGTACTAGTTACCCCTTATTCCTGTAAAGGATTTGAATTGTTCTCACTGATTTGTAGGAAGTCTTAATATATATTTTAATGTTTTTAATGTTTATTTGTTATATATATTGCATTTTGTCATTTGCTTTATTTTATGGTTTTGTGTCAAATCTTTCCATCTCTTATGATTCTTCTATTGGGGGTTTGTTTAGAAAGGGTCCCCCCTCCTCCCAAAGATTAAATAAATATACAGCTATGTTTTCTTCCAATTCTTTGACTATATTGTTAACTTTAACAGTGTAATTCCTCTTGAATATAGTTTAATGTATAAGGTCAGTTAGAGATGTAACAATTTTTTTTCTGAAGCAGTTAATCAGTGCTCTCTGTACAATTTGTTAAATAATCCATCTTATCCCTTCTTACTTGAAATGGCATATTTTATTACATACTGATTGTATATTGGAACCATTTCTCAGATACTGGTTCTATTCCATTGATCTTTCGATCTAAACTTTTATTAGTGCTATGCTGTTTTAATTACTATGGTTTTATAGTATCTTTCAGAAGTAATCATTGCAAGAATGCGTTCATATTTTTTTCTTTGTTTTCATATTTATGTAATGTTTATTTTAAATTTATTTTATCAAATTAATTGAAACCCGAAAGTGATGTTTTAGAAGATTATATTACATTTATATAAAACTGTGGGGTGAACTGACATCTTTACAGTATTGAGTCTTTTCATTCAAAATCCATTTATTCAATTTGTTATGACCCACAATATAGTTTCATTTTTTAAAGAAAGATTCTGTACATTTCTTCTGATGTTTTTTCCATAATGTTTACTATTTTTGCTTATTCTTGTGAATGAGATATTCTTCATTCTGTTTTCTTTTTGCTATGATATTTGGGGATGCTAGTGACTTTTGCATATTTATTTTGCTGCTTCATTTTGTAATTTTCCTCTTTGTCAAATTTATTAGCTCTAGTCATATTTCAGCTGATACGTTTTCTTCTTTTTGGTGGTTATATTTCTCTTTTTTTCCCCTTGTTATCACAATGCCTAGAATGTCAAGAATAATATTAAGTAATTGAGTTGATCACA